ACAGGACATGTTGGTTAACCAAAAGGGAATGGTCAGAGTTGGAATTCTGTGGTGCATTTCTGAGGCCTGTACTTGAGGTAGAGAGATTCAGCCCAGCGCCATCCCACACTAGCTCAGGTTCCCATTGTAGACAAGAATTAGGAAAGGAAAGATATCAGGCATAATTCATTACCATCAACACAAAGTTTGAGTCCAGTGGCACCTCTGAGACCAACGACGTTTTCTTCAAAGGGTAAACTTTCGTGTGCAAAACACCCTTCTTCAAACAAAACTGGAATAAAATCTCAAAACCCAGTTACGGGGGTGGGGGCAAGCCGTTCGGAGAGGCCACTCAGAGCCCAGATGCATATGCAGAGAGCGGAAGTTGGAATGGGTGGCTGGGAGGATCAATGGATGGCAGCACATTAGCACACGGATGCAAGAGTTAACAAAGAGACATGAGAATGACACTGGAGTCCAGCAGCACTAGAGTCCAGTTTTATCTGAAGAAGTGTGGGTGCGCTTTGAAGAAAACTTTGTTGGTCTCAAAGGTGCCGCTCCTGGACTCAAACTTTGTTCTGCGGCTTCTGACCAGCACGGCGTCCCACCTGAAATCTATCATTCATTACCACCAAGAAGCCATAAATCAGCTAGTAAAACGGAGGAAAGCGCAAGACCGTCTCGACAAATACGCCGTTTCCCCCCAAGCAGGACGTAAGCCCCGCCCAACTCTCCAGGCCACACCTCCGCCGTCTCCTTTCATGTCCTAGTTCAGAATCTTGAGAACTCCGCCGATGTAACCAGCTGCTGTCGTTTCCGTTACCGAATGGAACGCGGCTTTGACCAATGGGGAGAGCCGCGCCGCGGGACCTTGAAAAGCACGGGGGCGGGAGCAGGACGCGAGAGAGCGCCGCCATTGGATGGACTGACAGGAGGGGGCGGAGCGCTAGCCTGTCTCTGGCAGTGGCTGTGCGTGGCAGTGTCTCCCTGGCATCTCCAGGCGGCGAAAGGGACGGGGGTGGGGTAGGTCATGGCGGTGCTCGTGCCGGTGCTCTTGGCCGGGGTGCTGCTTCTGAGCGTGTCCCCGCGCGGGATCCAGAGCTCCCCGCGCAAAATGGTGACCGCTCGGCTGGCGGCGAAGTGGCCGGCGACGCCGCTGCTGCTGGAGGCAAGGTGCGTGGGGACAGGATCCCTCTCCATGCTAGGGAGGATGGGACGCCGCAGAGGTACCCGGTACCCCTAGAAGGAGGGACAGCTGTTGCTCCCCAAACCCCAGCCCTTGGTGGGCGACACAATAAGCCCGTTTTTCCCTGGGCCTCTAAAGGGAGGCTGCACATCACGGTCTCTCACTTTCTTCCTCCAAGTACAATGCCGGGATGGGAAGAACACGGGCATCGGGGTGGGGGGTGGGGCGGCTCTTGCTTCCGAGGAGGAGAGAAGGGGACCTGCCCTGCAAGAACAGCAGACGTGGGGTCCAGGAAGGGGTTATGAAGTTCCTTGAAAGGGTTGCTGTTGGGCTGTGCACGGTGTGATCCTAAGCAGTTAACGCACCCTTCTTAGGATGGACTTCGAAGGATGCAAATCTGGTTGGGGACTGCACTGCCAGGGAGTGGGCAATGAATGTCCTTTTTGGAGTGCAAAGCCCCCAGTGGGGAGAGAGGCCATGCCTATATGGGCTTCAAAAGTGAAACGTTGCTGTGTTAAATTCATTGTGTGAGGATATTCGCACATGCATGCCCCCTCCCTTGTTTCTTGAAATCCCATTGAAGTTTAAAGGCTTGTTCCAAGGTACTTCTAAAACCTTTAATTGGTGCAGGGGGGGGGTGCTCTAGAACAAGTGGTTCAAAAATGCAATCAAATAGATGCTGCTGAGTTTTGTTAGTTTCAAGCCTTCTGTTGTACATTTATATAATTTGAAGTCGTATTTGGATGTCCTTCAAAAAGACATTTCAGGCAAGCAGGAAAAGTGCTTGGCTAGAAGCATATTTCTTACATGATCTGTGACCGTGTCAGTGGCATTCTGCCTCCAGCAGTCCCATACGTCTTGTTCCAGTGACATAAAATGTCAAAATAGGTGCTATACATTCCCCTCCTGTGCAGAGATACTCTAGTAGCTGACATATGATTACACTGATAAGTGCTTAATTGTACATGGCTGTCTGTGCCAATGACAAGGTAGCACGTCAAGCTGCTAATCCTCCTCAAGCCTTCAGAGTTTGACCATTATTCGCTTTTTGATGTGTGCGTATTGTCTTTGTTGGTGTGTGTTTTCTCTCTCCTTTCATCCCCTGTGCCCTCTTAAAACATTTCTGACACTGTCAGCAAAAGTAAGAAAACTAACAGGATTTTTTTTTTAAAGTAGTCTCTTGTGCTCAGCCAGAGACCGTTTCAGTGGAGTTCAGTTTGGTATCCTGTGGCCACTCCCACAACCCCCGAAATAGTTGCGTTTGAATTCAAGCTATGTCTCAGCAATAAATATACCAGTCCCTGTCTTCTGTGGCTGTGCCATAAAAGTCTGCTGTTGGGTTAAAGATATTGCCTAGCTGTTCATGTGGATCACAGAAGTGTCTATATTTTGAATGCTTTCATAAAAGGAAGGAAAAATTCAGTCGGGCGCTCTTTGTACTCTTGATTTTTCTGTTAACGGAAATTATAAAAATTGGGTGTCAGAATTATAACAATGTTTGAGCCCAGTGGCACCTTTAAGACAAACAAAATTTCATTTAAGGTATAAACTTTCATGTGCTTGCACACTTCTTCAGATACATGGGGGGTTTTTTGGTAGAAACACAGTCTCTAATTTGTCCCAATTAGGAAACTACAAAATAATTAAGTATATCACTCTACACTACTTGTTTTGAGAAATAGTACAGAATCAATTAGGTAAGAAAACAAAATAACCCCCCCCCCCCCCCCCCCCCACGTCTCAGTATTGTTCATTACTTCAGTTTCAAAAGACGCCAGAGTTTTTCCACAGTGATCTTTGTGGCAAATAGTCAAAACACAGCTTTCACCATCAATTTTTGGAAAGTGCTATATTTGTTTGAGAATGAGGTGACCTAGCTTCCTTCTCTCCTTCTTGCCCTTGGTTTCCATGTACTCATTTTACAGTGCAGTCCTGTCTGCTGAGCTCATGGCCAACAGAGTTAATTTTATAAGGGTGAATGACAATAGTAGACTTGTTAAATACATTACCAGTCAGTTGAAGTTGCCATCTAAATGTTGTTGTTGTTCAGTCGCACAGTCGAGTCCGACTCTTCACGACCCCATGGACCAGATCACACCAGGCCTTCCTGTCTTCTGCCGTCCTCTGAAGTTTGCTCAGTGCCATCTAAATGACTGATAACTTAATACCAAATATGTTTGTGGGTCACACCAGTCATTTGATTTCAGTAGAACAGGGGTCCCCAACACGGCACTCGTGGGCACCATGGCAGCCGCCAACACCTTTTTTTGCTTCCCTGACATGTGCTTTTAGAGAATGCACAGGGCTTTAGCCCAGCAGGACATCTGATTGGCCATTGGAGATCTGTGTCGCGAGCGACAACGACAGCACTGAGTCCCTGCCTGAGTTGGCATTGCAGCCAGAGGTGCAGGCATTGCCAGAACCAGAAGCCGGCCCCTCTGACTCCTTACAAGTGGACAGCTTGCCAGCGCCTGAGCCTGTGAACCCCGCACCCAGGCCTGCATTGTCCAAGCCGAGGAGGCACAGGTGCAACTGGGGAGCCCGCCTGACTCACCTCCATGGGCGATTCAGCTAAGGGAGCGGCTCCGTAGAGACTTCGCCACCCGCCGTCGAGATGCATGCTAGCAGGGAAGGCGAGCGCTGAGTCCTGAGCAGGGGTCATTTGGGGGGGGACGCGGGGGGACGCCATCCCCCCGGGTGAGGTGCGGGAGGGCGGGGCCTGGAGCTCCCTGCTGGTGCCCGCTGGAGGTCGCCGCCGGCTGTGGGAAGGACACACTTCCGGTGATGTCAGGGGGTGTGGCATATGCTAATGAGTTATGCTAATGAGTCCCCCTAGCTCTTTTTCTACGAAATGACCCCTGCTCCTGAGTATTAGCGGGAGCAGTGGCGCTGCCACGGGAAGCCCGGTCAGCGACCTATATAACTCCCACTCAGGATTGGGCTCTCGTGGAAGCAACGCGTCGCCTCCGTGCATGTCTTACATCCACCCTCGGCTCCTGTTCTTGGACCCCCACTCTGGCTCGATTTCCTGGTTTCCTGACCCCTGTTTCGGACTCACGAATTGGCTCTCGCTCTGACTCTCCTGACAGTGAACTTGGACCAGACTTGACTCTCACCTCTTAGCCCAAGCTCAGCCCGTGACAATCTGATTGACTCTGCGTATTTTTAAAAACTCTTTAATGGTAGCTGCCACCACCGTGTTGGTTTTATTCTTTCTCCTCTTTCCCATTGTATTTTAAAAAATGACTTCTCTTTTCCCCTGCACATGGGCTTCCTCTGTGTGTGTGTGTGTGTGTGTGTGTGGCTCTACCTCCCCTGGCGGCCATTTTAGGGTTGCACCTACTGCCTTGTGTCAGAAGTTCTGTGTCTGACATTCTTTGCTTCCCACCTGCATGGGCACAGTTCATATCAGGTACACAGAGAGAAAGGTCTTAGACCTTACTTTGGCATTTTGCTGACCTGAAACGTCTCCGGGGAGCATTCTTTGTCCCACTAAGGGCTGTACCTGTACCTGTACCGATGAGGTTATGTTACATTTCCACAACGAGGCAAAATAGCGCCCACTTGAGGTCATTTAAAGCCAGGAAAATGACATGGCGGGAAGGTCTAAGCCCTTTCTGTCTGTGCGCCTCAGTCATGTAGTTGGGCCCTGGATCTGGAGTGTTTCCTTTTGGGTAGCGCTGCAGTGCTAACGTTGCTTTCAGAAGATTTTCATTTCTGCTTTGAACTGTGTGGTAGATTGCAATGTTATAACTCTTTGAGTTTTGTTTCCTCAAAAATGTGTGCGTCGTGAACTCTTTCAATGGACTAACGATTACGAACCTTTTTAACAGTGAATTCATCGCCGAAGAAAGCAATGAGCAATTCTGGCAGTTTTTGGAAACGGTGAAGGAATTATCAATATATAAAGAAGGAGGTAAGTGACTTGAATGTTTGCTGTGTCTGCACTGGCCAATCTTTGCATAACTCGTACCTCGTAATACTAGGGGCTGCATTCAGATGTCACAACAAACCTCTATTCTTGAAGGAGGTGAACTTAGTTTTTTGTGCTCATGTGGTGCTCTCCCTCCTCCCTTGGAGGTGGAACATGATTGAAAGCTTCTTGAAAACCTGCTTCCCCTGGCATGCCCTTTTGCTTGCTGTAATAGCAGGGCCAAGTCATGTTATTAATAGGTTCTGTTACAATATCCATTTATATATTTAGGCAAACACTTTGTGCTTTTCCTATACTTTATCCTGCATTTCCTTCTTAGTCATCAGAGAGGTTTTCCTTTTAAAAATTTATTTCCAGCATATTTTTGCTGTTAACATCTTAAATTGGGGGGGGGGGGGGCAAGTATGATGGGGGGGTCCTCGAGAGGAAGCCATTTTTTATCTTAACATCAACGGCTTTGCAATCTCATGGAGATGTCTAGAGGTCCCTTTCTTTTATTATTATTTTTTTTTGTCACGACAAAGTCACTGGTGTGTGCAGAGATGTGCAGTTGTTGCTCCTACAGTAACCACGTAGCCACATTCTGAGAGCAACGAAGCCTGTGGAATGATTCATAAAGGTCTGCAAGACAATGGTAGAGAAACAAAAGGAAACACTACTACCTGCAAGACAGGTGCTCTGGACTAGACAGTGCACTGAAACCACCTGTTTGACTATGTGTTTTAAAGTACAGAGGTGTCCAAGGTGATATAAAAGTTCTGCCTCTGGTGTTGATACAGAATGGCTGTTTCCACACGGAGCCCATGACTTGCGAAGACTGTGTCTTCTAGTGCTGGACCAGAAAGTTGGACATCACCTCCGTGCTTGTGTGTGTAGAGTGCCGTCAAGTTGCAGCTGACTTACGGCAACCCCAGAATGGGCTTTCAGAGCAAGTGAGGAGCAGAGGGGGTTTGCCATCACCTTTTTTCTGCAGAGACATCCTCAGTGGTCTCTCTTCCAAGTACTGACCGTACTTAGCTTCTGACGAAATCAGGCTGTACTACCCCCCCTTCTCTCCTGACATCAACCATGGAAGAACTAAATATATTAATAGGTTGGATCCACTGGAAGATGTGCTGGGTTCATTGTGCTAGAGGGAGTATTAAAACAAAAATGGGGTAGCCCCTAGAATCATAGAGTTGGAAGGGACCTCCAGGGTCATCTAATCCAACCTCCTGCACAATGCAGGAAATTCACAAATACTGCTAAGTAAACACAGCCTGTCCCGAACCATCTTCCCACTTGTGCAAGGCTTTGTGCAAGCAATTTCTCGGTGCTATGAGATATAGGGAGGAAAGCACTAGGTGTTGCACAAGGGTCTTGCACAAGCAGAGCTGCACTAAGTCTGTTCACGTTTCTACTTGTGCATCCCTGGGTCCAAGCCATTGTAGTGAGTAGCCCTGGGCTGATATTGTACCATGAGCACAGAACAACCTGAAGAATACAGCACAGACTGAACATGGAGAAGCTGTCTCCTTCCTACCATTTGTGTTTGCACCGTTTTAAGTATGCTACTGGAAAGAGGGGTTTTTTGGAATCCTTGTGTCACACACCCCCCCCCCCCCCGGTCTTTGCCCTCTGTCACAACCAGAATGCTCTGTGCATAGCAGGGTCAACACAGCCCTTGTAAAACACCTTTTTACTGTGCTGTTGCGTGGGCAGCATTCTCATTTGAATCTTTAGTCCTTAAGGACTTGCCCAGGTGTTCAGTCAGTATTGCAGGCATAATTGCTATTTGCGAAGCAAAATTATACACCTAAACACTCAGTTGGGAAAGGGCCTGTTTTCTATGCTTTGTTTATCTGTTCTTCTAGTACCAGTTTGTGGACTTTCTTTTTCTCTTACTCAGCAACTAGCCAGCTTTCCTCCTTTTTGCCTTAGTTTCTGCAGAGCAGTTTGTGTGGACAATGTTTCGGGCCTTTTGTCTTTTACCATCTTTTACTTCATAGAGAGATACAAGATTATATAGTTGCTCACTGTCTTGTACTTGTTTGTTCTCTCTGCTTCCCTTTGAGGAAGAGGTGAGGTAGGGAGAGGTAAAGTTGGGAGGGAGGGCCAAGTGTCTGTACTCCTAGAGTGTCTTTCTGAGTTCTTTTTCTCCATGTTGTCCTGCAGCCAGTTTTGGCATCAACAGCTGCTGCAAATCCTCCCTGTCCCTCAGAAATGCTAGAGAGGTAACTGGTGCAGTCACACAGCCATCCCTGTGTTTACTTCAGGCTGTGTTCGTATGGACGTGATGCACTTTTGGCAAGCTGGGTCCAAGTTCCTCATACCCAGGGCTATTTTTGGGCAGGAACGCACAGGAACGGAGTTCCGGCTGGCTCCTGAGTTGGCCACACCCAGTAGGAACTCATTAGCATAATAGGCCACACCCAACAGCAGAAACTCATTAGGACTGGCTACGTTAGGGGTGTGTGGCCTAACATGCAAAGGTGTTCCTGCTACAAAAAAAGCCCTGGGTTTTAACAACAAACAAGGTAAACAGAATAAGAAGCAAAAGGTGAGTGTGGCTGGATGACCACACTTCTGGTAATGTGGGGTGTGGCCTAATATGCTAATGAGCTGCTCTTTCAGGGGTGTGGCCTAATATGCTAATATGTTTCCGCTGTTGGGTGTGGCCTGTTATGCTGATGAGTTCCTGCTGTGCTTTTTCTACAAAAAAAGCCCTGCTCATACCCGACTCATTTCCCCCACAACCTCATTAGTATTCTAGGTATGGGCAGCTCCAAAATAGGACAGATAATTCCTCTCCCCCCCCCCCGGTAGGGTTGCCAAGTCTTGATTAGAAAATACCTGGAGACTTTGGGGGTGGAGCCAGGAGAGGGCGTGGTTTGGGGAGGGGCCTCAGCACAGTACAATGCCATACAGTCCACCCTTCAGAGCAGCCATTTTCTCCAGGGGAGCTGATCTCTGTCGGCTGGGGATCAGTGGTAAAAGCGGGAGATCCCCAGGCCCCACCTGGAGGCTGGCAACCCTACCCCCCGGGCATTTTGGCTCAGGAAAATGGCATGTGGGGGAAGTCCGGAGTCCCTTCTTCCCCACACCAAAGCGCCAAGCTGAATCAGCCTCCCCCCAAGTTGGCTGCAAGGAAGGTAAGCCAGGTATGGGGCACCCCACCCGATACATATCATGTTGTTTCGTCCTATGTTGTGCCAGATTCAAAGTCCAATGCATTTCATAACCGTTTATGTTTAATGGCTAGCCTCATAATGTCTGGCTTGCAGACAACCTGTCTTAGCAACTCTGTGCAACATACTCTTTTTCACTGCTCTCATTACTCTTTGCTGCGTCATATCTTTGATCCATCCCCTCCTTTCTTCTGTGAAATCCAGGGCTCTAGTCGGGGGGGAGCTCTCAGGTACGGAGCTCCGGAAGAGAACCTCTAGGGGGCGGGGCGGTCACGTGGTGAAGCCCCGCCCCCTTCTTTACCCCGCCCTCTGCTTCGATCCTCATTCCGTTTGGGAATGAGGATGAAGCAGGAGGGTAAGTAGCCGGGCCTTCTGACACACTTCCGGTGATGTCAGGGGGTGTGGCCTTCTGTCACTTCCGGTGATGTCAGGGGGCGTGGCATATGCAAATAAGTTATGCTAATGAGTTATGCTAATGAGCTCCTGCAGCTCTTTTTCTACAACAAGACCCCTGGTGAAATCTATGCGCAATAATGACCTTGGTTTTTTGTTATCTGACAAATCTCCTGAAATTACTGCAGTTGTCGCTGAGTACCTACTATTTGTATGGAAGTTAAGGGTTAGAAGCTGTAATATTTAGATTTACCATTTTTTCCTCTCCTTTTTATTAATCCCAAATGGGTTCTGTTTGGTGGAGACTTTTAGTATGTGTATATATGTATTTATTGGTGTCTAGTTTGTGTGTGTGTGTGTGTTGTTGTACTATTATGCCATTAAAGGTTTCTCTCTCTCTCACCAGTCTTAGCGAAATAAAACTTAAACACATTTTATGTTTTAGTAATATTTGTCAGTTAGTACAATCCCTCTCTGATAAACTGCGTTTTATGCTGGATTGATAACTTATTTCTAGAATGGGTAACTACCTAGCCAGAAATATTTCCTCTTTCTGTGCTTCTGAGTATCCAAGATCCAGTTGTTGTGTTACCTTCATTTGTTCATCATTGTGTGTGGCCAAATATTAACATCTGCTTGTATCTCTTGTTTTTTTATATACAGTCTCTGAACAGTCTTATTACGACTTAATCTTGAAGAAAGCTGGGCAGTTCCTGTCAAACGTCCAGATTAACCTGCTGAAATTTTCTCTTGCTTTACGAGCGCACTCTCCAACCATTCAGATGTTTCAGCAGGTGTGTAAACCTGTGTGGTGTATACGATGGGTTTAGGTATGAAAGATACCTGTAATTTTGGCTACCATTCACAAGCCAGTTGGCAACTGCTTCATATGTAACTGTCTTAAGCTCTGAGAGCCAGTTTGGTGTAGTGGTTAGGAGCTCGGACTCTAATTTGTGAGAACTGGGTTTGATTCCCCACTCCTCCATATGCAGCTGCTGGTGTCACCTTGGGTCTGTTACAAGTTCTTTCTGAGCAGTTCTCAAAAGAGCAGTTCTCGAAAGAGCTCTCTCAGCCCCACCTACCTCAGGGTGTCTGTTGTGGGGAGGGGAAGGGAAAGGAGTTTGTAAGCCGCGCTGAGACTCCTTCGGTCAGTGAAGGGCAGGATATAAAACCAATCTCCTCCTCCTCCTCCATCTCCATCTTCTTCCACTCCAGATGTTTCGTATAGTGTCTGTCTCCAAGCAGCAAGCCTTTCTTCTGCAGAAGCATGCAGTACGGATGGGTGTTCACAAAATGTTTTGCCATAGTACAAAAAAAGAAATCTGTGGCCTGCTTGGTCACACTCTACAGCTTGCCCTGAGGAGACTACCATCTTAGCCAGGGCTTTTTTTGTAGAAAAAGCCCAGCAGGAACCATTAGCATAATAGGCCACACCCAACAGCAGAAACTCATTAGCCTATTAGGCCCCACCCTGACAGCATGGCTCATTAGCCTATTAGGCCGCAACCCCATGTTACCAGAAGTATAGTCATCCAGCCACGCCCACCTTTTGCTTCTTATTCTGTTTACCTTGTTTGTTGTCAAGACCCAGGGCCTTTTTTTGTAGCAGGAACTCCTTTGCATGTTAGGCCACACACCCCTAATGTAGCCAATTCTAACGAGTTTCTGCTGTTGGGTGTGCCTTATTATGCTAATGAGTTCCTGCTGGGCGTGGCCACCTCGGGAGCCAGCCAGAACTCCGTTCCTGTGCGTTCCTGCCCAAAAATAGCCCTGATCTTAGCAATTTAAAGTAGCCCCATGTTGTACTTACTTGCAGGGGTCGTTTCGTAGAAAAAGAGCTAGGGGAACTCATTAGCATAACTCATTAGCATATGCCACACCCCCTGACATCACCAGAAGTGTGTCATAAGGCCACACCCCCTGACATCACCGGAAGTGTGTCATAAGGCCACACACCCCGCCCCCAACGGTCCCTTTTTTTTGGACCTGCAAGGCCGGCGGGAGTGCAAGGAAGCCCTGCGAAGGCCCTCCCTGGCCCCAGGCAGGCAGGGGTGGGGAGAGGCAGGGAGGAAGCAACTTACCCTCCCTCTTCTCCTGCCTCCTCCTGGCTGAATGAGGGCCGGAAGCGGGGCGGCTGGAAGCAGGGGGCGGGGCTTCATCATGTGCCCCGCCCCCCATACCTCACCCGGGGGAACTGCAATCCCCCGCGATCCCCCTGAAATGACCTCTGCTTGCTTGGTAAATGCCTGCCGCAGTGACGCTGCCTTTTGTAAGACCAAACACAAAGAGAGTGGTTTGATTTGCATCCATGTGGCCTGATAGTGTGATAAAAATAATAATAATAATTAGGTGTCATCAAGTTGCAGTTGACTTACGACAGCTATCCCCTGAGGTTCCTAAGCCGAGAAATAAGCAGAGGTGGTGGTGTCATTGCCTGCCCCTGCACAGCTACCCGGGACTTCCTTGGTGGCCTCCCATCTGAGTACTGACCCTGCTTAGCTCCCAAGCTCATGCTCGTCTGGGCAATCCGGGCTTCTGCTAGTGTGTTATTCATCCTCTTTACCCAGAGTAACAGCAGAAGCCTCAGGTGGTACCTACAACATAGACAGAAGCTAGCGAGTGCGCTAGAATATTTTAGTTCCTCAAAAACTCAGGATCTTGCAGCTTGCTTGTTAGCTTCTACTTGCTGTGAAAGGAATAAGGAAGGGACTGTTCAAGTTTTAGATCCTTAGATCAGTGTCTCTGGGATACTAGGGATGAAGTCACATCTGAAAGAACAACTAGGTATTTACCATCACATGGAGGGAGAGCGGCCACACCTCCTCGTTTTAGGATTGTCTCTGTTACGAGGGGTTGTTTTGTAGGGGAAAAAGAGGCATATTAAGGGTAGGAGTTCAAGATTTGTCATGAGTTCAAGCCTGTCTGTGCCCACCTGATAGCTGCAACTAACCCGTTTCAACTAATCAGTTAAAACTTTGTCCCCTGTGCTGTTCCCTGTGGGTCCACTGGCCCTCAGGAACAAAATTTCAGGGGACTGAATGGGAAGGGAAAGTGGGAAAGTCAGTGAATGGTTGGATATACTTCACTGTTTGTTAACTGGTTTAAACTTATGAGAAGAAGAAGAGGAGATTGGATTTATACCCCACCCTTCACTCGGAGTCTCAGAGCAGTTTACAATCTCTTTCCCTTCCTCTCCCCACAACAGACACCCCGTGAGGTAGGTGGGGCTGAGAGAGCTCTTTTGAGGACTGCCCTTGAGAGAACAGCTCTGACAGAACTATAGCTTGCCCAAGGTCATCCAGCAGCTGCAAGTGGAGGCGTGGGGAATCAAACCTGGTTCTCCCAGATTTACCCAGATATACCCTAATCTACCCTGCAGATTTAGAATGTGTCATTTCTTCATTCCCCCCTATTCATTGGGTTGGATCGAAAAGATTACAAGTGAAAAGAAAGTAGGTGTTGGTAAGTGTTCTACAAAAACACTTGCACAAGCGCTAGCAGAAATATTCAGATGTTCAATAGCCGTGAAAGAACATCTTGAGATTTCCCTCTCTCGTAAAACAGCACTTCTATGAGCAAAAGTCATGTTTCACATGGAGAAGAGCTCATGGGGTTAGATCCAAAGATCTGTGACTGATGCAGTCTCTTCCTCCTCCTTTACCCCTGCAGCCCCAGGGAGCCTCTGAAAAGGTGCTCATGAGGGCCAAAGGATCCTCGGGAACAGATGTACGGGAGTGTGGGGCACTGCAGTTCGAAAGAAAATCAACAGGAATAACCACTGTCCTTGGTTATTCTTCCACAAAAGAAAAAGGAGCTCATGCAAGGGTAGAGAGTGATTTCTGCCGGTTACCCATTCTTGGTTGAAGATTTCATGCTGCACCCCCTCTGGTCTCAGGTGACCATCATCAAGAGCAGCTTTTGGGGGGGGGGCAAGGAGGCTGCAGAGGGAAGGAGGAGAGATCCATTCTGTGAACCCATTCTGTTCACATTCGTTCAGTCCGACCCAATGTCTACGAAAGCTGTTTAACCCCGGGCTTAATGTTTTTCATCTGGAGCTGCGGTGGCTCAAGTGATTAAGACACTGAACTGCAGGCTGTGGAAGGTCGGTAGTTCAGCAGTTTGAGACCCGAGTGTGCCACATAATGGAGTGAGCTCCCATCTCTGGCCCCAGCTCCTGCCAACCTAGCAGTTCGAAAGCAAGAAATTGCAAGTAGATAAATAGGTACCACTTCGGTGGGAAGGTAACAGTGTTCCGTGCGCCTTGGTGTTTAGTCATGCCGGCCACATGACCACGGAAACTTCTTCGGACAGCGCTGGCTCTTCGGCTTTGAAACGGAGATGAGTCTAGAGTCAGACTCGACTGGCTTTCGAGCAAGGGAACCTTTACCTTTACCTAATGTTTTTCAAGGGGTGTTCTAGGATAAGCTTCTCTTTGCCCACATCCTCTTGCTGTGTGGTGTGGTTGATCATGTAAAGTAGACGGGACAGTGGGCAGGCGTGTGAATAAGAGGCTGCTTCTCTTGCTTGGGATGCCCTAAAAGAAGCAAAATATCATGCATTTTCCAGTAACGTTACGCCTAATCCCTCCAGAGGTTCTATCTCTTTCCTTTAATTTATGGATAGTTATTACTCAACAGAGGTGGAAAGCGAGTAAAATTGTAGCAGCTCATCCACCTCGGCAGGAAGAGTTATGCAGCAAAGCTGTTCAGATATGGAGATCTCTAAATTACGTGAGTGCCAAAATTCAGGTAGATCTTAATGAGCGTGGATTGCATAAGAGGCATATTTGCAGCCAGGTGGATTAAGACGCTGAGCTGCAGACCGGAAAGTCTGTAGTTCGGCAGTTCAAGACCCTAATGCCGCGTGACAGAGTGAGCTCCCGTCTCTGGTCCCAGCTCCTGCCAACCTAGCAGTTCAAAAGCAAGAACTTGCAAGTAGACAAATAGGTACCGCTTCGGTGGGAAGGTAACAGCGTTCGTGCACCTCGGCGTCTAGTCGTGCCGGCCACATGACCACAGAAACGTCTTCGGACAGCGTTAGCTCTTCGGCTTGGAAACGGCGATGAGCACCGCATCCTTAGAGTCGGATTCGACTAGCTTTCGAGCAAGGGAAACCTTTACCTACTAGATTAACATTCCTGCCTCAAAGGCTAGTCAGCAGTGGAGGGCCATGCTCTGTGGTACATTGCTGCTGTGCCAGGTAACAGAGGGAATGCGAATATTTCCCTAAATATTTGTGAACGTAAGAAGAGCCCTGCTGGATTGAAGCCGTGATCCAACTTCTAGTTCAACAAGCTGCTTTGCACTGAGGCCAACCAGTTGTCACTTATTTACAGAATTTGTGTCCTGCCCGATCTGGCCGAAACGCATCAGGTCATTTTTTTAGCCCTGGTTATGATTATGGTTTATGTATATTGTCTGTAATTGGGCCCCTATATATGTTTTAACTTGATATTATTAATAAATACATGTACTTCTTTTTATCAATGGGTTTTAATATTGGCCCTCTTTTCCACTAAACCTTTGTTTGGTTTTGGATTTCTTTGTTAGGTTTAGTTTTCTTTCCCTTTTTTGTCCCTGCTTGACCCAAGGTCACACCAGCAGCTGCATGTGGAGGAGTGAGGAATCAAACCTGGTTCTCCCAAAATAAAGTCTGTGCTCTTAATCACTACACCAAACTGGCTCTCAGAGTCAAAACATTAAAAAAAAACTGGTTAGGAAGAAGTGTCACTGAGGGAATGCCCAATGAAATAAAGAAGTCTTTGCCTGCTGGCAGAAAACAGCAGCAGAAGGGGAGAGGCTAATTTTCTTGGGGAGAGAATTCCAGAGCTTTGGTGCCATGACTGAGGAGACCCTCTCCCTGGTTGCCACCCACCTCATCTCAGAATATAGGGGCACCTGAAGCAGGACCCCCAAAGATGACCATAGTGGTTGGGCAGGTTCATAAAGAAGTAGGTGGTCCTTCAGCTATATGGGTCCCAAACCATATGAGCCTTTGATGGTCAACACCAGCACCTTGACTTGTGCCTGGAAGCAAACTGGGAGCCAGTGTAGATGGGCCAAGACCAATGCTCCCTCTAAGCTGTGGAGTCTTGTGAGCAAAAATTCAACTTTGTGAGCTGCTAGAACTAAAGTTGTGAGCGAGCGATTTGGCTGCTGCATAAATTAGCTTGCTCTGGAGCTATCCCTTCCTGAGCTAAGACAAAAATGTGTGCGTAGGAGGCTAAAAAAACTGTGAGCTAGCTCACACTAACTCAGCTTAGAGGGGACACTGACCAAGTCTGGAGTGACATGATCTCTGTGACCCATTCCATCCACAATTCTGTACCAATTGAAGTCGTTCTCAAAGGCAGCCCGTAAAGTTGCCCTGAAGGACCAACAAACATGGCATGAAGGCCAAAGACTCCCCTTGACATTGCCTTCTAGCTCTGGTATTCTCAGCTCTACTGTCTCCGGGTGTGGATATAAGACCAAGTAAAATTGCAGCAGCTCATCCGGCTGAGCAGGAAGGATTATGCAGCAAAGCTGTTTAGCCACAAATTTTGTTAGTCTTTTAAGGTGCTACTGGACTCTTGCTTTTTTCTTCTGGGTGTGGATGTTCATTTTGGTCACCGCAGCTAGTAAACTCTACCCAGGTTCTGTCCTGACGGTCATCTCCAAGGCTGAATCGTCACCATAACTGGTGATCTTGGCAGGAGTTAAGGGATGCACGTGGTTGAGAGGTGAAGTCAAGAAAGTGGGAGCTAAAAAACCCCCAAACGACTAGTGATGGTAGGAATCCTGAGAAGCCTGGTGTGTTGCAGTGCCAGGTCGATAAAGCATGTTGTCACTTTTAGGGTTTTTACTCTCTTCATTATTTTCTCCTCACATACTCAGTACTTAGACGCACAATGCAATAGCAGCTGATGAGGTATTTTAATCAAAGGAAGGTGCGTTACTCTGAGGATGCCGTGGAATTAAACCAGCCGGGTTGAGTGTAATTGTTGAAATATTAGATTGCAGCTGATGAGCCGCCACCGAAAGGCTGCCGTGCGTTTGTGGTTATCCACGGGAGGAGCACCTGTAAGGCTAATGAAATTAAGAAGTTTCTGACGAAGGCTGCTGCAAGGTAAATGTAATGAGCTTTGTTGACGGAGGTATTTTTTTTTCCATTACAAAAAAAGATGCGATACTGCAACGTAGATGCTTTAGACATCTTGGCAGCACATGCTTATGTTTGTTCTTGGCCAAAGAAACCTTTATGTTAAGATTCTACGATACGCATCCATCACAGGCAGCATTTTGAGATGTTAATATTGTGGTACAGTTTCATAACCCAGCCGTGTCTTTCTGGATCACTGGGGCCTTCCTATCCCTTCTGGGGTCTTCAGCGGGGGTTGCCAGCTCTGGGTTTGGAAGTACCTGGAGGTTTGTGGGAAAGGAGCCCTGGGAGGGTCCGAGTTTGGGGAGAGAAGGGAGCTTAGCAGGGTACAGTGCCAAAGAATCCACCCTCCAAACAGTCCTTTTCTCCAGGGGGACTGGTCTCTGTCACTTGGAGATCAGGTCTAATTCTGGGAGATCTCCAGTCTCCACCTGGAGGTTGGCAACCTTCAGGCCTGTAGCCATGGTGGGGCTTCTTTCGCATGTTGCATAGACACTGGCTATTTACAGGAAGCTCCCTCTTCTCTTCACATGAAGCTGCCGCCATCTCCGTCTAATCAAATAAACTCCTTTGACACCGAAGGGTTGATGTTCTCCGGGCTCAGCTACTTATGTCTGTTTCTTCTGGAAGTGTTTCAGACAGTGCCCCCACACACACACACACCCTTTTGGGGGGCAGTTGCAGGGATTGTCTAATCAAGCTGGAAAATGGTGCCCATAAGATTTCCCCGGCGGGAGTAAAAGCAATCTAAGACATGTTTTTCCCCCCAGTGAGAAAACAGCAGGGGAGGACAGGGTTAAAGCATCCATTCCTGCCCCCACGTAATTTCCCTCCTTGATATGGCTATCCCTGCAGCTGCATTTGCAAAAGAAAAGTACATTATTTAAAATATATACAAGAAGCAGCAGTTGGGTGTAGCGGAACCTGTGGCTATCCGCCAAGGAGTGTAAAGCTCTGTTGTGGAGTTGCCTTCACACAGCAATTTTTTCTTCAAATAAGCTTAGTTTTTTTTTGGGGGGGGGTGTTAAAAATCACGGGATAACTTAAATGTTGTTTTAGCAGGACATTAAGCACTGGTCGAACAAAATAGTGAGGGAGATGAATTTTCCCTACTTTGCTGTTTCCCCCCACAACACTTCCCCCAAGGAAACTTCAAAGCAGCCAAGCAAGATGAAAAGTTCTCTGATCTCTTATCAGCTGCGGAATCCCCTCATGGGACCCTCTTTAATCTGTACTGCTTTCTGGTTCTCTGCATGCTTCAGCTTTGATGTAGGCATTTACCTTAACAGAACTTCGCCTTTTCTGGGTTCAGCGTGTCTTCTAAACATCAACAGTCAGGATCAAGCTACCTGTGATGTTGGAAATTCTTGCTCAGATCCCTTGATGTGTAACTGAGCCACTGTGGGGGGCTTGACACAGATAGGGGGCCATGACACTGAGGAAGGTGAGTGTGACAGGTAGAGCCAAGAAAGGTACCCTAGCAACGCAGCAGCCAATGAGAACAGTGCCCTAAATCCACCAATGGGGTTGCACTGGTGGAGTTAGGAATGGACAGAAGTTGCGTGGAGAGGATTTTAAGACTGAGGGAAGGAGGTTAGGTTCTGAGGGCTGGTTTAACAGAACTGCTGATATTTATCTCGAGTCGTGTGTCTGTTCTTGTTCACTTTTTAAAAAGAAGCCATCTCCTGATTCATGGGGTTGTTCCAAGCTTGGGTGAGTTTCAGCCTAGTTCTCAGTTTCCCATTGGAGACCCTGGTGCATTGGAAGTAGGTGGGAAATTAAAATTGCGACAGGACGATGGAAAAATCCTGTGTGGGGTGGTGCCTGGCCTTTACAGAGTGAGTTTTGCTTTGCTGTTTGTTTTGCCCCCTCCCCAACACAAACCCATGCACATATTGGGCTGCTTTCAGACCCAGTAGAGAATAAAGACAGATATACTTTACCTATTGTGCCTGTTTGGAGGTGGAGGGAGTTAGAATCCCCCTTCTGCGACACCTTGAGCACAGTGCATAATGCTTTACTGCCCCCCCCAGCTGTTTTTGTTACCTTTAAATCACCTGTCAGGGGTTTTATCATGACTCCCCAGCATCGCATGCCGTTTGGCCTGTGGGGTCCAGCCTGTAGTGTTTAAAACAGAGAGAGAGTCTCAAATTCAGGTTTTAAAAGGATTAGAAATAACTGGATAGATTCTGTAAAAAAATCAAAACCGCAAATTGCAATTTTCAAAGAATTCTCTAACTGATATCAGGAGTTAAATGGAATAAAGTGGGAGCCAGCAAGGCATCCCTTGGGGTGTGTGTGACAGTTTGGGAATCCCATTCCAGTCCTTGAAAGTCCCCCCCCCCCAGATCTGATCAAGCTACCCCCCCTTTTCCCTTTAACTTGTCTTCTCTCAGAATTCCATACTTTTCTTGAGCATATGTAGTCCTCATGAGGCCATTTTGAGGATTTGTTTCCCATTCCTTTTGATAAGAACATAAGAGAAGCCAACGCTGGATCAGGCCAATGGCCCATCCAGTCCAACACTCTGTCACATAGTGGCCAAAAATACCAGGTGCCATCAGGAGGTCCAGCAGTGGGGCCAGGACACTAGAAACCCTCCCACTGTTGCCCCCCCAAGCACCAAGAATACAGAACGTCACTTGCCCCAGACTGAGAGTTCCTATCTATATCTCGTAGCTAATAGCCACTGATGGACCTCTGCTCCATATGCTTATCCAATTCCCTCTTGAAGCCGCCCATGCTTGTAGCCGCCACCTCCTGTGGCAGTGAATTCCATGTGTTAATCACTCTTTGGGTGAAGAAGTACTTCCTTTTATCCGTTCTAACCCAACTGCTCAGCAATTTCATTGGGTGCCCACGAGTTCTTGTATTGTGAGAAAGGGAGAAAAGTACCTCTTTCTCTACCTGCTCTATCCCATGCATAATCTTATACACTTCGATCATGTTACCCCTCAGCCATCGTGTCTCCAAGCTAAATAGCCCCAAGCGCTTGTTGGTGGTTGTATTTTTCTGCATACCCCAAGGAGATAAAGACTCCCAAATTTTGTCTGTGGGTAGCCTGGTTTTCCTTCTTGTGTTATCTGCACAGGAGCCAGCCAGTTTGCTATTCAAGAGGGGGGCCCTTGAGGAATCATGGGTGGGGCTAGTAAAGATGAGGAAAATTTCCCTCACCCTGTGTAAGCCTGCACAGAAGTAAGCAGTTGGGAAATGTATAGCTGGGGTAGAAAGGCATCGGAGGCATCTGAAGCTGTGTGCGTGCGCATATTGTGTTATGTGGGGTCCCCTTTTTTAACCTCCTTGTCACCACTGAGGCTAGCAAAATAAGACCCTTGTGAGTTAATTTGCTTTTTCAAGGAGACCTGTGAGCAGCTCCTTAGAGAGAAAACCTATAACTCATCAAAATAAATGAGAACATCTTTAAAAAAAAAAAAGAGGGCATTTTTGAACAGAAATGAGGATTTTTGAAAGATAAAGGGGAAACTGAGATTTTTAAGGGGAGGGGAATTGAAGAGAAATGTGAAAGAGAAAAGGGGGGGGGGATTACAACATAAGAGAAGTCAATGTTGGATCAGGCCAATGGCCCATCCAGTCCAACACTCTGTCACATAGTGGCCAAAAATACCAGGTGCCATCAGGAGGTCCACCAGTGGAGCCAGGACACTAGGAGCCCTCCCACTGTTGACCCCCCCCCCAAAGCACCAAGAAGACAGAGCATCACTTGCCCCAGACCGAGAGTTCCTACCTATCCCTTGTGGCTAATAGCCACTGATGAACATAAGAACATAAGAGAGAAGCCAATATTGGATCAGGACAGTGGCCCATCCAGTACAACACTCTGTCACACAGTGGCCAGAAATACCAGGTGCCATCAGGAGGTCCATCAGTGGGGCCAGGACACTAGAAGCCCTCCCACTGTCCCCCCCCCAAGCACCAGAAATACAGAGCATCACTTGCCCCAGACTGAGAGTTCCTATCTATACCTTGTGGCTAATAGCCACTGATGGACCTCTGCTCCATATGTTTATCCAATTCCCTTTTGAAGCCGTCCGTGCTTGTAGCTGCCGCCACCTCCTGTGGCAGTGAATTCCATGTGTTAATCACTCTTTGGGTGATTGAAAGAGATCTGAGGGAGAAATATGCACCTGTTAGGGTTGCCAGCCTCCAGATGGTGACTACGTTCTTTGGGGATTATAAACTGACCTCCAGGCAACAGAGATCAGTTCACCTAAAACAGCCACTTTAGAAGGTGGACTCTGTGGCATTATACCCCGCTGAAGTCCCTCCCCTCTCCAAACCCTGCCCACCCAGGCTCCACCCCCAAATCTGGTATTCCCAGCCCGGGAGTTGGCAACCCTACTCATCCCTCACATGGGCCTGTTGAACGTGGCTCAGGTATGCTGGCTGGGTACAATCAAGATGGTCTTGTTCTGGGCTGCGGCAGCTGAAACCACAGCCTTTCAAGTGACCTGTCAGTGGTGTTAGCGGGCCTTGAGAGGTGCGTTGTCCTTCTCATCAGCAAAATTCTTCCTCTCGTGTATCCAGGGAGGGAGGGTCAGGCTTCAGCACTCTTCTGGCCTGGCCATGCAGTGTGATGGGGCAGAGAGAGCCACGTTTGAGGCCCTTGGCCAAGCCATAGTTCTGTCAGAGCTGTTTCTCCCAAGGGCAGTTCTCGAGAGAGCTCCCGGCCCCACCCACCTCACAGGGTGTCTGTTGTGGGGAGGGGGAGGGAAAGGAGTTTGTAAGCCGCTCTGAGACTCTGACTGAAGGGCGGGGTATAAATCCAATCTCTTCTTTTTCTTCTTCTTCCTTTGTTCCTTGGTGAGGGTGGATTAAAATGCACCAGGCATAAAAGGGAGGCCTGTAGAAGGTCTGGCTGCTGGCTTTCCCCATCCTGGCAGCACAGTGTCTATGGCAGCTACATGCAATCTTTTGAAACACTATTTTAAAATTCTGCTTCCCTAATATTAAATTCAACAATAGGAAACCATGGTGTTTCTGGGAACCCCCAGGTATGCATTTGTTAACCTCCATCCTTTTGTGTCTGACCCCAGTCGGTTGCTTTCCTGATCACACTGGAGGTAGGCGTTTTAGTATCAGAGGGCACGATGGTGAAGAGGATGTACCCAACAAGTGTACAGAGCGTCCTTAAAGAGCAATGAACACGGGCCTCGAGTTTACCTAAATATAATAGGTGATCCGAGGAGTCGCTCTGAGCAAGGGCCGCTAACCAACTTCCTGCCCTTTTTATTGTCTAAAACTGTGAATGTTCTTATGGTGCCGAAGAATCCTTAACTTCAGAATCCATGTCCCAGGTTGCTTCGAAAAAGTAATGCCACAGTCTAAAATAAACTAGATAATAGTTATTTTCCCTCTTTCCCATGACTTGCCGTACAAACCTCCAGAAGATAGCCTCCTGGTACTAAAACTTCTGTATGTGTGAAGTCTTGAATAATTTAAAGGGTGTAGGGGGTGCTGGTTAAATCTGTATTGCTGTCTCTAGCAGATAAACTGTGTTGTCCTTACTGGATTCCCCCATCTGAAAGTTTACCTATTGGACCATTGCCAAAAAACAAATTAACCGAAAAACTCTTTTTTTTTTCTAAAGGCCAGGTGTTGCTCTTCACAATTAATGGCAGAAATTAGGTGCCCTGTTTATTTATGGGTGGGTAAGTGGTTAAGACACTGAACTGCAGGCTGTGGAAGGTCGGTAGTTCAGCAGTTCGAGACCGGGGTGCCGGAAGACGGAGTGAGCTCCCGTCTCTAGTTCCAGCTCCTGCCAACCTAGCAGTTCGAAAGCAAGAAATTGCAAGTAGATAAATAGGTACCACTTCGGTGGGAAGGTAACAGCGTTCCGTGCGCCTTGGTGTTTAGTCATGCCGGCCACATGACCACGGAAACGTCTTCGGACAGCGCTGGCTCTTCGGCTTTGAAACGGAGATGAGCACCGCAACCCTAGAGTCAGACTCGACTGGCTTTCGAGCAAGGGAACCTTTACCTTTTAAGAACATATCAATACAATAAATAAGTTAAAAAAAAACACAGCAGTAAACATTAAAATGGTGGTCACCGCTCAAAACTGAAGTTGGCTGGCTGCGAGAAGTTCCCTGGCTTGTTGGCGATGGATAATAATAGGCCAACTGTTATTGGATGGGAGACAAAAACCTCAGGGAGGCAATACATGGGTGCCCGCTGGCTCAGCTGAAGGCCTGGCGGAACAGCTCCGTCTTGCAGGCCTTGCGGAATTGAAGAAGATCCCGCAGGGCCTTGATCTCAACAGGGAGGGTGTTCCACCAGGCAGGGACCAGGGCAGAAAAGGCCCTGGCCCTGGTCAAGGCAAGATGGATGTCCTTTGGGCCAGGGACCACCAGGAGGTGTTGATCCCGTAGAGCATAGTTTCAACTCGTTGGATCCCCAAAGTTCAAATAGCACTCAATTCTCTGCAGTGGCTGCTACTGTAGGTTATTCATGAGGACCAGAAGAATGCACAGCCTGCCTGTGTTGGCAAGACTTCTGTGGTTGAGCCTCAGGGGCTCTGAGGAAAAATGGTGCCAAATTTCCCTAGAAAGTTTCTGGTCTCTTCTTTGGCTACCACAAGGCTTGGCTGGAAGCTCTAGGTGCCGCTTTCAAAACGAATCCTGTGCTTCTTTGCTACTTTTTCTCCTCTGCTGCCTAGGGACATCCTGTGGACAGAACCCGAAACAGAAGTTCTAAGATCAAAGCAAACATGTGGGGGGGGGGGAAGGCATGAGATTAGATAGTCATTAAGAAGAAGAAGAAGAGAAGAGATTGGATTTATACCCCGCCCTTCACTACCCAAAGGTGTCTCAGAGCGGCTTACAAACTCCTTTCCCTTCCCCTCTCCACAACAGACACCCTGTGAGGTAGGTGGGGCTGAGAGAGCTCTGACAGAAACTGCTCATTTTTAGGAACAGCTCTTATCAGAGCCACGGCTTGCCCAAGGTCATGCAGCCAGGTGCATGGAGGTGTAGGGGATCAAACCCGGTTCTCCCAGATAAGAGTCCGCACACTTAACCACTACACCAAACTGGCTCTTAAATATTTGTATTTGTCAAATCATTATTGCTTCCACTATGAACAGTTTATTAGGCCTTCTTAACTGCGGTGGCTCAAGTGGTTAAGACGCTGAACTGCAGGCTGTGGAAGGTCAGTAGTTCAGCAGTTCAAGACCCGGGTACCGCAAGACGGGGTGAGCTCCTGTCTCTAGTTCCAGCTCCTGCCAACCTAGCAGTTCGAAAGCAAGAAATTGCAAGTAGATAAATAGGTACCACTTCGGTGGGAAGGTAACAGCGTTCCGTGCGCGTTGGTGTTTAGTCATGCCGGCCACATGACCACGGAAACGTCTTCGGACAGCGCTGGCTCTTCGGCTTTGAAACGGAGATGAGCACCGCAACCCTAGAGTCGGATTCGACTGGCTTTCGAGCAAGGGAACCTTTACCTTTACCTTTAACTGGGGACTAAGCTCCACTGAAATCAGTCGGGCGTACTTCTGAATAAGCGTGAACAGCCCTGGGCCGCACACTTTCTACTGTGGCTTCTAAGGTGAGCTGCATTGTAGAAGAGCTCATTTCTTGGCTTTCTCAAGAGGAGCTCATGTCAAGATGCTCTGATCTGGACGCCACTCTTCTACAGGCAAGACTATTCTGCACTTCTCTGAGGGTTCAGGTCTCAGGAATTGCAGGATGAGACGAGAAGTCCTATTTTATGAGACTTGAAAACAAAGGCTTGATCGAGGGTTGCCAGGTCCCCTCCGGCCACTGTCGGGGGATGGGGGGGGTAGAGTTGCCAGATCCAGATTGGGAAACTTACGGAGATTTGAGGATGGAGCCTGGGGAGGACAGGGACCTCAGTGGGTTACAATGCCACAGAGCCTACCCTTCAAAGTGTCTGTTTTCTCCAGGGGAACTGATCTCTGTACTCTGGAGAAGAGCTGTAATTCCAGGAGATCCTCAGGTCCCACCCGGAGGCTGGCTTCCATAGCTCGATCCCAAGAGCCATTTACATCGCAATCTAAAACAAATTGACCCCCTTCTGAGCCTGTTGACTTCAAGGGTGTAACTGCATTTAGAATTGCACTGGTAGTTACCGGAGACTGAATTGCCCATGTACTGGTTGCGTTGCATCTAATCCCATAGCTATAACAAGCAGTATTAAATAAGAAGTCTGCATATTACTGGACAATAAAAATAGAGTAGCTTTTAGTGCCTTTTGCTTGCCGTGTGCCTTTTATTCCTGCCTTCATGAAATTGCTGATTGGCGGATGCCAAGTCTCATCTGTAGTCCGAAACCGGAGCTCAGCTCTTTTCTGCAACAAGGTACAGCAATTGTGATGTTCTTTCCATGTCTTAAAATGCTTTTTTCAATTGTTCAGTGACCAGGAAATGGAGTAAAGCCTCTTTTCCTTCTGCCGCACTCATTCAAGCGTCATTCACTCTGAGCTGAAAAATTATTTGTTCTTAATCCAAGGCCCAGGCCGTATCTGTTCAGAGGAGATCACAGATTCCCTGCACTCAGTGAGACGGGCCCAGTGGTGATCCTTTATGCTGAAATGGGTACAAAAGACTTTGCCACGTTTCACAAAGTTTTGTCCGAAAAAGCACAAAAGGAAGAAATCGTTTACGTCCTTCGGCATTTTGTCCAGGTAGGTGCGTGGGGGGAGTGATAGAATTTGAATTCGTCATTCAAAGTTTAGTTTCTCTGAACTTTTTCTCTCTGATTCTTCCAGTATGCCTTATTGTTGCATACTCTGTTCTCCCTCTTTCTCCCCCTCCCCACCAAGCCTTTTGGTCACACCTAAACACAAAGGGGGGGGAACACTGTGGGACAAAAAGAATATTCCTGATCTAGGACATCTGCACTGGCACTAATCATGATTGATGCTAACGAGGGGAGTGCCCCTGTGGCTACGTTTAGAAAGAGTTTTGCACGCTCCCATGGTGAAGGAACACGCTGAGCACTAATAGAACTTTGCAGCGGTGCAAACTAATGGTACCTAAAGCAGACCTCTGTAGGAAATGAGTTTGTGAGGAGTGTGTGCTGATTTGTGGCCCTGTTAAGACGCTGAACTGCAGGCTGTGGAAGGTCGGTAGTTCAGCAGTTCGAGACCCGAGTGTGCTGCATGACAGAGTGAGCTCCCGTCTCTAGTTCCAGCTCCTGCCAACCTAGCAGTTCGAAAGAAAGAAATTACAAGCAGATAAATAGGTACCACTTTGGTGGGAAGGTAACAGCGTTCCGTGCACCTTGGTGTTTAGTCATGCCGGCCACATGACCACGGAAACGTTTTCGGACAGCGCTGGCTCTTCGGCTTTGAAACGGAGATGAGCACCGCAACCCTAGAGTCGGACTCGACTGGCTTTCGAGCAAGGGAACCTTTACCTTTATCCTGTCTCTTATGCATGCTCACTAGGCCCGGTAGAGTTGCCAACTGGTGGTGGAAATAGCCTTCAAGTCGCAGCCGACGTACAGTAACCCCTGTTGGGGTTTCCAGGACACGAGGCGTTCAGAGGTGGTTTGCCATCGCCTGCCTCCGCGTAGCAACCCTTGTATTCCCTGGTGGTTCCCCATCCAAGTATGAGCTGTGGCTGACCCTGCTTATTAACTTCCAAGATCTGATGAGACTGGGCTAGCCTGGCCTACGCCAGCTATGGCTTGGCACGTTCTTGGCAATTTGGGGTCGGTGCCTGGAAAAGGGAGCTCAGTAAGTATGTAATCCCACGGAGTCCACCCTCTGAAGTGTCTGTTATCTCAGGGGAAACTGATCTCTGAAGTCCGGAGATCAATTGCAATTCTGGAAGAACCCCACCTGGAGGTGTGCAACCCTGAGGCCCAGGTATATTGTCCTGTATCCTACCACCGTTAGTAGAAGCCCTCTGGGGGAGGATTTATCTACTGGCCCAATACCGTTTTATGTACAACGGGGGCACGTGAGTTCTTTTACCCGTGTATCCAGAGGGCGGAATCAGACAAACTCTATTTCCCTTACGAAGGAGACAACACACCTGATGTTTAATAATAATTGTTGTCTTTACTAAATATGGTTGTTGTTCTCAGGCATACAAAACAGATGCGTTCACGCAAACACACAAGATTCTGTAGGTACAATAGTAATAGAAAGCATTCAGTAAGAAAAATAATAATAACTCTTGACTAACAAGGAGGTAACACACAGAAGGGTAATGGTTGATACTTATCTGATCCAGGCAAGAAGGAAATCTTCTCAATTGGGAAAACAGGAACAACAGATCTATCTTTGGGGATTCTATATCACACGGGTGGACCTGCCAACATGTGTGGGTTCTCTTGGTCGCGATCCAAGAAAACACTTAAGAATCACCTGCAGTAGACTTAAGTTGCAGGGTGGGGTAGGTTTGGCTAGCGAAGCACAAAAGGTGTGCAACGCCTTTTAAAACCTGGGTTTTGGGGCTGGCCTCTGGGCCAACCTCTTACCTGTAGTCCGTCCTCTTCCCTATGTCAGGTTGAAGCCATGATTGCCTTATACTCCATCTTCTATTGGCTAAAGATCAATTTGAACCCCGCCCCTGATCCTGACTGATGCCTTCGAATCCAATTGGCTGATTTCTGTTAAGCGGAAAATTTCGCTCTTGGGGTATTCTCCCTTAGCGCTGCTGGAGATGGGTAGGGACCGAGCTAAGTTAGAAATTAGACAGAGGATCAAGGATACCGAACGCCAATTTGATCTACAGGTGTCCCCAACATTTATAGCGCCAATTAGTAACAAATACATCGTTGTGCAGGCCCCATATCTTAAAGTTTTGGAGTCCCGTAAACTCAGGAGGGCATATACACTGGCTAGATGCTCTGCCTTACCCTCTGCAGTTGTTGAGGGTAAATTTAAAAAAATACCCCGAACAGAGAGGCTATGCTCGTGTGCATTGTGGGAGATCAAATCCCAGGAACATGTGTTCCTGAGATGCCCGTTATTTATTTATTTGAAGAGGCTCGTACTAAACTTATTGATCCCCTTCTGGCAGGCACTACGGATGAGGACAAGATGGAGAACTTGTTTCTTAATCTTGAACATACAGCCCTCCATCAGATCGCGAAATTTTGTTCCTTGGTGGTAGAAGTGCATCAGGAGGATGGTTGTCACTAGGGCCAGGACTGTTTGATTTTAACTGGTACCGTTCCTTTTGGTACTATATTTTATTCTTTTATACTGTGCTTTATGGCAGCGTATTTACAGTTTGGTTTTTTTACCTTGTTGAATTTCGGAAATTTTACTATCTGGCCATTGTAACTTATTTATTCTGGTTTTATATTGCTGGCTAATCGCTGTTACAATAAATTCATTCATTCACTCTTCCCTATGTCTATTGGCCATTGGGAGGTGACGTACCTATCTAGAGGGAGTGGAACAATATTCAGATTCTAAACCTAACTTCAATGGGACCATTTGGTCAAGGTGTGAAACTTGTATTGCCATGGAAACCCTTTGTAGTAGAGCCACTGGCTGGGTCCAGGAGCTGTAAACAGGATGTCTTCTCTGTTGATATGCAAACCAGTGCGAGGGTTACGTGCCATTCCAGAAACTCCTTGATGGTGGAATAGTTGTTGTTTGTGAAAGTCTCTTAGCTGAGCATGATGGAGAATGCCTTCTCTTTCCCAAGGCAGGCTGGGTAGGTGTGTGTGTGTCCTCATTAGCATGTTGGTGCAAACAGCACACCGGCACAGCATCTTTCAGGTGCAGGCAAACGCAATGCAAGCAGACTACACAGCATTCCCAAACCCATACATAGATGCAGATACATTGCATACACACAACTATCAGCATAATACAGATGAAACACATTTATAAGCACACTTGCCAACACCACTCAGCAAAGTTTGACACCTTCCTCCAGCCAAAGGAAGCTCAAAGAGCCACTTAATAAATGGGAGGAAGATTTCAGTCGTAGCAGAGCAGTAAGGTCCAGGCAATTATAACTCTGCCGAGTCTACATAGGCAAGAGAAACGGCAGACATCCTTGCTGCTTGTGTTATCAAAAAGTACATGATTGGCATTAGAAGGTAGACATCCAAAAATATGCACTGAGTTTCCATGACAACAAGCCTCTATCACCCTCGTTGTAATGGGAGCCAGGTTGCGTACGTTGTGGGGGGGGGATCTAATTATGTCCAAGGCTATTAAATGCATTAAATTGATTAATTTTACTTAAAAGCGTCAAGCCATCTACCAGTTTGCAATAGACTTAGCTCTTTTCAGCAAAGAAGCTGACACAGTTTGCCCAAACCTGATTTAAAATATTGCCTGTGTTCCTATGTGAAATTGAATTAATTTTGTCCATGACATTCAGTCCCCAAATACCAGGGTCAAACTGTGGTTGCAAGCTGGTCCTAGTTCTCTGCTGAAACCTGTGTAGGCTGTTCATAAAAACTCTTGACTGGTAAAGCCCCTGTGAAGCACACACAGATACGTAACTCAAACTCTGTTGGCTCTGGAGACGGAATGCTCAGAGTCCCTATTAACCTGTTACAACTACCTGTTGCAATGAAGTTTTAGTGTAAATCCTTTGCTCTTGAGGATGTAGCTTTCTTTGAAGCATTACAGCATAATCCCTTTTCCAGAATAGAATCTCCCAAGTGAAATCACCATGTTCCCCCTAACGTTTGTGCTTATTTCATTTTCAAGGTAACATCAATTCACACTAGTTTAGATAAGGTACCTCTTAACACTGTCTGAGGCTGTTGGCTCATCTAGTTCAATGCCATTTTTATTCCATCCTTCCTCCAAGGAGTTCAGGGCAGTTTACATGCCCTCCCCCGTTCTGTCCTCATGGTATCCCTGTAAATTGGGCTATGCCGAGAGAGAATGGCTATCCCCAGCGCTTTCAGTGGCCTTCATGGCAGAGTGGGAATTCAAACACAGGTCTTGCTGCTTCTAGCCCATCACTTTAACTACTGTACTACACTGGCTCTGTACACTGTTCACACAGGCAACATCTCTTCAGGGTCTCAGTTGGAGGATCTTCCCCAGTCCTGTACTGTACTCCCAGAGCTCATTTTAAATGGAGAGACCAGTGGTTCAATCAGGAGCCTTATTGCTTCATTCAAAGTGGTTTGGTGTAGTGGTTAAGAGTGCGGACTCTAATCTGGGAGAACCGGGTCTGATTCCCCACTTCTCCACATGCAGCTGCTGGTGTGACCTTGGGTCAGTTACAAGTTATTTCAGAGCTGTTCTCTCATGAGCAGTCCCCGAAAGAGCTCTCTCAGCCCCACCTACCTCACAGGGTGTCTGTTGTGGGGAAGAGAAGGGAAAGGAGACTGTAAGCCACTCTGAGACTCCTTTGGGTTGTGAAGGGCGGGGTATAAATCCAATCTCCTCCTCCTCCTCCTCTTCTTCTTCTTCTTCTTCTTCTGACACTTCCTAGGGAGTAAGCTCCATGGAGCTCAGTGGGACTTACTTCTGAGTAAACATGCTTAGGATTGCACTATCGATAGGCAAAGCATGTGTTCTTTTATTGAGTTACTTGTTATTGATGAAATGGTTCATGAACAAGCATGTCCATTTCCCCACTCCGAAACCTACGAAGAAATAGGACTTAATATTTTGCTGATTGTCCTGCATTCCTATTAAACTTTTTGCTTCAAATGGTAAGTTGCAGAAATGCTGTGGGGTTTCTTTTAATCAAAGCAGATTCCGGACAGTCTATCCCCAGCTGTTTCCTTCTCTCTGAACTGATGTAAACTAAAGAAGAGTATACACTTGTTGGAAGGTTTCAGCAGATCAGAATAGGGGCATCTATTTGAAAACCCAGCTGTTCCCAAACAGTGTGCAGCAAGGTGATGTTGGGTGCCTCCTGGAGCGCATCGCATAGCTCTGTACCCTGCTGCCGCCCACAGCATGGTAAGGATCAGCCCTTGTGTTGCTCAACTCTTCCTTCTCTTTGGCCAAGTAGCTTAAAGAGGATCTGACATGGTCCATGCTATATGAAGGAGCTGTTGTTCTCTCCAGCTGTTATATGGCCTGTCCCCAAGAAAAAAACATACCTGATGGCATAGAATCAAAGAGTTGGAAGGAGCCATACAGGCCATTTAGTCCAACCCCCTGCTCAATGAAGGATCAGCCTGAAGTATCCCTGAAAAGTATTCATCCAGCTGCTGTTTAAAGACTGCCAGTGAGGGGGAGCTCACCACCTCCTTAGGCAGCCAATTCCACTGCTGAACTACTCTTACTGTAAAAAATTTTTCCCTAATATCCAGTAGGGTTGCCCCATTCCTCCCCAATGGGGGCGGGGGTCCCCCCGATTTTGAGGGCCCCAATCTGCCACTGGCCGGTGGGGGAGCCCTGCCCCCAAAGAGCCCTGCTGCACCTGACATGCCCAGCACGATGATGTCACCTAGAGGCGACATCATTGCACCGGACATGTTGCATGGGAGATGCTCTAGCATTTGGCTAAAGACTCTATGGTGCCCATAGAGTTTTTAGCCAAATACTAGAGTGTCCCCTTCATGATGTGCCCAGCGTGATAACGTCGCTTCCAGAGGACCCAGGAGAGCAGGCTGGAGCCCCCAGCCAGCAGAAGGTAAGGACCTGGCAACCCTAATATCCAGCCAGCACCTTTCTACTTGTATTTTAGACCTATTATTGTAAGTCCTGTCCTCTGTTGCCAACAGGAACAGTTCCCTGTCCTCCTCTAAGTGACAGCATTTCAAATACTTAAGGCTTCTTTCCCATTTTCTGCCCTCACTCTTCTGTCTTAAGAGCAAATTGGTAGATGTGGTGAGCTGAATCCAGATTTTAAGTACAAGTGATGATTTACTGCTTGCCTATACTAACAGCCCAGTCTTTTGCATGTTTGCTTAGAAGTCCAGCTTCTTACAGCAGGACTTAGTCTGAAGTAAGGTTGAGTTGTATGTGGTTTAGCAGTGGTGGCTCTTAAAATCTCTTGTCTTCCCTCCTTTTTCCAAATGGTGTGCTTGGCTAGAAACCCAGCTCTGAAAAGATGTATTTGTCTGGGTATGGTGTGGAACTTGCAATAAAGAGCACAGAATACAAAGCGGTGGACGATTCTCAAGCTAAAGGTACATTTCCCCCCCTTTCCTGTGCATGGTGTTATTGGAGACATTATTATCACAAAATATTCCGCAGTGTCTAGAATTCTGAAGGCAGTAATCTTCTGCATGGCCACATAGAAGTTAATGGGAAATGTCTTGTTGGGTCAGTAATTCACCCGATATTTGTTTTTTTCCCCTGACACACATGGTTGGTTGTGATTGCATTTTGTGGGATATGGCAAAGGTAGCCACGGGCACCGAGAATCAATACAGAAATATACTTCTGTAATTCTTTTTTTGCAGATAGGTGCCTTTATGAAATAGAAGATATCTTTTCACTGACACTGTACACCAAGCCCAATCTACTCTTTTGTCATCTATTTTGAAGACAAACTAGTTCCCCCCCCCCTCATTTTAGAAAGTACGAGTCTTCAATGGAAAATCAAATGTCATTTTAATAACTTCTGGAAAGCCAATGTAGTCTGAGGGTTGGGTTTTTTTTTTTTTTTACATGTCATGTTTAGGTGCAAGTAATGTAACAGAGGAAGAAGACAACAAGGAAAGTGATGTCCAGGGGTTTCTCTTTGACACATTAAAGTGAGTTGATATTAATTCTGTTCCCAAATACTGGAGTTTATAAATTGGCATTCTATGCTTAAAGAAATCCATTGAGTTGGATCCAGCAAATGCAGGAAGGGAAATTGTAAAGACACTTAGTCCGGTTCTCCTTGCACTGGACCTGATTGTCACAATAATAAGTTGCACAGGGTCTTGCACAAGCATAAACGCAAGTTGGGATACAGTAAGTGTAACATAATGCAAGCAGCCAGCATGGTATTTTTACTGTGTTTCTACTTGTGCCAGGGATCTACATCATACAGAAGTCTTTCCACTGCATTCTACCTAGTGGTTTTGAAATCATTACCTTCATTTGTCTTAGTTAATTCACTTGTATTAATGTCCTGACCTGGATAGTCTGGGCTAGCCCGGTTTTGTCAGATCTGGGAAGCTAAGCAGGGTTGGCCTTGGTTAGTACTTGGATGGGAGACCATTAAGGAATACCAGGGTCGTGATGCAGAGGCAGGCCATGGGAAACCACCTGTGAACGTCTCTTGCCTTGAAAACCCTACGGGGTTGCCATAAGTTGACTGCAACTTGATGGCACTTTCCCCCACCAGGTCATTTAAATGCCTTGAGGAGCAAACACACACAAGAAGTTACCTTATACTAAATTGGTCCATCAAGGTCAGTATTGTCTACTCAGACTGGGAGCAGCTCTCCAGGGTCTCAGGTAGAGGTCTTTGACATCACCTACTTGCCTGGTCCTTTTTTAAACTGGAGATGCCAGGGATTGAACCTAGGACCTTCTGCGTGCAAAGCAGAGGTTGTTCCACCAAACCACAGTCCCTCTCTGACAATAGCATACAGTTGCTGTTGTCTGTCTTTAATAGTTACATAATTTTCAGATATTAAAGTAGGTAAACTATGGTAGCAAGTAGATTTGAATAGAACATTCACTTAAAAGAACAGAGTCTCTTTTCCTGTAAATATTCTTGAAATTCTGTTTTACGGGCAACACATAAGTATGGGGGATCCAAAAGCTGCCCACCACTAGGTTAGGGAAAAGCGTTAAAAGTACCATTTGTAATGTATGTGGTATTGTAACTTCTGATAGGTGTAGGGTTCCGGATGCCCTCTGGCCACTGGGTGTGTGTGTGGGGCGGGGGCATAGGGTTTCCTGCTCCAGGTTGGGAAACTCCTAGAAATTTGGGGGTACAGCCTGAGGAGGATAGGGACCGTAGAGGGGTGCAATGCCATAGAGTCCACCCTCCAAAGCATCCATTTTCTCCAGGGGAACTGATCTCTGTAGTTTGAAGGTGAGCTGTAATTCCGGGGGAACCTCAATTTCCGCTTGGAGGCTGGCATCCCTAGATAGGTGCCGAGTAGTGCTGACTTTTTTTCTCCTTTTAATAATCTAGGCAGAACTACCCAGACCTCAAAGATAATCTGACGGAGTTGAGAAAGTATTTGGTTGAAAGTGCCAATGATACAGAGCCTTTGAAGGTCTGGGAACTACAAGGTAATTCACGTTTATCCTGGTTATCTTCCAGTTGTGATACCATGTGATGCGATGGAGGCATACGTGAAAATAAGTCGCAACAGCAGTGAAATCTATGCAATGGCTACCGTCCTTGAATGAGGCAAGGTTTAGAAAACGGGAAGCCCTTGCTTCATCTGTCTCCAAATTGGCCTTTATGCTTAGAAATCTGTTGAGTTTCCTTTGCCGCATTGCTTAAGAAGCCTCTTCCTGAACGATATTTTTAGATAACATCTTTTCATTCAACCCAGTTAATCTCTGAATAAAGATTTGCTGCCTTATTCAAATACTATACCAATCCCCTGTGGGTCTGATTAAACACGCCTAACTTCTCCTTCCTCATGTTTAAGTCCAGTCCAGTTTACATGGGTCATAATAATGTGATGTAGACCCTCTACATCACTGACACACAGCTGCCATTTTGAGTGGCATCCATGCATTTATCCTGACTGATTCCCTAAAAGCAGTTGTTCTGCCCTCGGTCTGCCATTTCCCTTGGTTGTACTGCTCATTTTCCCACTATTTGCTGCGTGGCCACATTTTGACCTGCATCCAGGGGTCATTTCGTAGTAAAAGAGCTAGGGGAACTCATTAGCATAACTCATTAGCATATGCCACACCCCCTGACATCAGGGGCCTGGCGGTGGACGTGCAAGGCCGGCGGAAGTGCGAGGAAGCCCTGCCAAGGCCCTCCCTGGGCCCAGGCAGGCAGGGGTGGGGAGAGGCGGGGAGGAAGCAACTTACCCTCCCTCTTCTCCTGCCTCCTCCTGGCTGAATGTGGGCTGGAAGCGGGGCGGCCCCGCCCCCTGCACCTCACCCGGGGGAACTGTGTTCCCCCGCGTTCCCCCCGAAATGACCTCTGCCGCCCCCCCCCCCCCCGATTTCCCCCTCATCTTCTTGATCCTTATTTTTTAGGATCAAGAAGACGCGGGGGAAATCTGGAGGAGATGCGGGTCAAAATGCCGCCGTGCAGCAAATAGTGGGAAATTGAGCAGTACAACCGGGGGAAACGGCAGACCGAGGGCGGAACAACTGCTTTTGCGGAATCGGTCCCGAACTCCCAGTTAGCCCTAAAGAGACCTGTAATTAGGTCTTATTAGCACTGACCTAGATAGACAAGGCTCGGAAACTTAAGCAGGGTCAGCCCTGGTTAGTACTTGGATGGGACACCACCGAGGAAGTCCAGGGTTGCCACACGGAGGCAGGCCATGGCAAACCATCTCTGAATATCATTTGCCTTGAAAACCTTATTTGGGTTGCTGTAAGTCGGAAGTGACTCGATGGATGTTCTCTAAGCTGTTAGGAATGTCCAAAGACTAAGATCGATGTGTCATCAGACTGGAACTATCATGTCCTGCCATGGAAGGTATGGGGAAAAAAACCACTCAAGAGAAACAAAATCTGTTGTTCTCTTCTGTGACTTTTTGTAAAAACACTGTTGATTTTACTGGTGAATTTTTTAATGCCGCATCAGATGAAGAAATGTATTTAAAATGCTCTTTCGGTGGAAAAGAAAATATCTGATCCCCCCCCCCCACCTCTTGTGATGACCTGCAGGAGGATATTCTGAGGCTGAGTCACTAGTAGTACAATTTATCTTTACTGTTTCTATTAATGTCGCACAGGAGTAGGCCATGAAGTGTTATCATTGTAAAATAAAAGCCATAATATTGCTTAAAAAGCTATTTCCTCACACAGACGATATGTTGAGGATGAGGGAAATTGACCGTGAAGCTTGCGGAAGATTAGCCTCCCCCCCCCCCCCCCCCCCGAACCTGGTAATACTGGGAAGGTTGTGTGATAGCATTTCTCCCTTCAAGCATTATGGGTAACTGTTTCTGATATTCTTCCCATTAGAGATGGGAGATCTTTTTTGGCTAAAGAAATAGAAATACAGAGACCTCAACCCAGTTAAAGTTAATCAGAGCACGTTAGGGCCTAGACTTATGTCTGTTCATCCCTTCCTTGGGCTCCGCATGTCCTCCATCACATGATCTGAAGACACTTGGAGCCTGGGGAAAGGGAAAACAAGCTCCCCCCACAGGCCTGTAAGCCAGGATTTTGTGGCTTGTGGGGCAATTTTTTTTTCCTGGTGGGGCTGAAGTTCTCAGTGCAGAAAGAAAAGCCATTTAGCCAATAGAAAGCTGTTCCCAGGATAGATCTCTAAACTGCAAGCTGTCAACCACTTAGACGACAGTTCTCAGTTGCTGCAAGTGAATAACTTCTGCCAGCCTAAGCAACAGTTCTGATAACGAGTTGGCAGGTAGGGTTGATGACTTCTGTAGTCAAGAAAGCTGGCACTTAGGCAGAAATATTCTCTTAAAGGAGACCAGTTTCTTGGCACAGAGTTAGAAGGGATCCTAGAGGTCACCTACTCCAACCTCCTTGCTCAGTGCAGGAATTAGTCAGCTACAGCACCCCACTCCTGTCTTAAAGGAGTGCACACCTTTTAAAAATGTTTTTAAATGATTGAAAAAAGCATTTACAGGAGAAATTCTTGTGGGGCTGTGCCTGTAAGAAAGGGAGTGGAGCTCCCAAGATCCCCAACCGTAGTTACGGGCCTGCCCCCACCATGGTCGGTCATGTCCACTAGGGAAAACAGCACAGGAGTGAAGGCTGAAGCCCCTCCCCTCTTAACAGTACTCTGAGCCTTGATGAACCTGTGACTCCTCTGAGCACAAGGTATGTATAACTAGGCCCTGTTTACGTTGCAATCCTAATTTACGGTACACCTTTTCCTGGGACTCCCCCCCCCAATAGCTCTGAGTAGTCCTGTTTAGGATTGCAATCGTAGAGGTTTTAGTTCAGTGAGACTTAGTTGTGATGAAATTTGGTTGGATTTGTGCAGGGGGGGGGGTATCATTTTTGAACCATTTCTTCTGATGCATGTATATTTTCACTAGTTTGCTGCAAGCCTCCTAGAGTTCATGTAAAATAAGGTAGAATATAATTTTGTAAGGACTTCTCAGGAACCAATTAAGGCTTGTAATATTTGAGGGTAACCAGAATTAAGGCTATGTGTATTCCTACACTGTAAAAAATGAAATTCTCTCCTTAGGCAATTCAGATTTCCAGTGAAAAATAAAATGAGTTCTGTAACCTGTATGTGCAGATTAAACTTCCTCCAAGGAGCTCAGGTCATGGCTCTCTTAAATGTTTGTCACATTTTTCATAATTTATTTCGCCGTTTCCTTGTCATGGGAAAAGACCGTGAATGGAAATATGGAAACCTTTTCCTTGGACCTTTGGAAACTTTGTTCTGCAACCCTGGTGGCTTCTGAGATTTCACCAGGCATTGCACGGTCTGTACCACTGTAGACTGGAGGTGAAAGTTCATCTCTGTAACCAGAAGGACTACGAACTTGCTCTAAAAGGCTGGTATCCTCAGGAAGTAGAATTCTGTGATTTTTCTGCAGTCCCACGGAACTGCAATCTACAACAGTTATGATTACAAAGCCTTGCACATGGGATCTGAGTGATTGGGAATGTGGAGAGAGGCAAGAGAAGTTAATAGCAATACTTTCTCACAGTTTGATGTCTTGGGCCAAGTCCACAAACCAGGGTTTGCAGTATTGTGAATAAATTGTGGGTTTGTACCCTCCCTCCCTTCCATTGTCCCTGTAGCTTCCCTGTATATTTCCTGTTAAGCCCTAGTCATACAGTAGTTTGCTGTAGATTCAGGCGGATAGCTGTATTGGTCTGAAGCAACACAACAAAGTTTGAGTCCAGTGGCATCTTTAAAACCAACAAATCTTAAGTCTGGGTATAAGTTTTCATGTGCATGCGCCCTTCTTCAGATACCTGCAGAAGTCTACAGACACATGAAAGCTTCTACCCAGAATTAAACGTTCGTAGTTTGCTGTGTTATCCGAACTGGCAAACTGTGATCAGCACCTGCCCTCCAAACCAACATCAGTTCTTGGCAGGGAACAGAAAACTAGGAAGTGCAGAGAAGGTCTACGCAGGATAGAGAGGGAACCCCCCCCCTCCCCAAAGCCCACAGCTCTTTGGATTGTCCAAATGAAACTTGTGTGGTCAGTCATTTCAAAACAAGCTTGACAAACCACTTAGGCTATGGTATAATGAAGTAGCTCTATCTGAGATGTTTTCACACTATTTACCAGCTCAGATAATGATGATCATTCTAAAACTGTATGTATGCTGATTTCTGTGTCTGGAATATTGTAGTCTTCCAGATCCTTAACCACGGCTTTGGTATCCAAAGTAAATTGCAAGCCTGCGTTGTCTTTTCTCTCTCCACAGTTGTCCCTGCCATCCCTAACTATGGTTAAGACTTAACCAAGGTTATCCATGCTAATTGGGGTTCACTGTCAACCAGGTTCTTCAGCGGTGCTTTGTTTTCTTACAGATATTAGTCTCCAGGCAGCATCTCAGATCCTCACTGTCCCTGTTCACAATGCTTTGAAAGTCATGAAAGACATCGCACAAAATTTCCCAATCAAGGCCAGGTATGATAACCATGTTTGCCTTTGATACATTCATGAATATCTGGGTTTTGTGAATGTGTAGAGCGGCCTTACAAAGAAGTCCCCCAAAGCTTCTAGCCTGATTGTCTACATATACCTACATTAGATATTTGTAGCCTTAACGGGAAATAGAAACAACCTTTGAACACCTTTCTGCTCGCCTTGGAGATCAGCCAGCATGGCGTAGTGGTTAAAGTGTCGGACTATGATCTGGGTAGACCTAGGTTTGACTCCCCACTCTGCCATGGAAACTTCCTGGGTGACCTTGGGCCAGTCACATATTCTCTGCCTGACCTACCTCACAGGGCTGTTGTGCCGATAAAACTGGAAGAGAGGAGAATGATGTAAGCCACTTGGGTGCCCATCGTGGAGAAAGTGGGATATGAATAAAGTAAGTAAATAAAGAACTGATTCCAGCTAGCCCCATGTGATGGAGCATGTGGCTATTTACCAGTCTGGCTTGGTGTTGCTATGTTCCACAGGAAAGAACATCCAGTAGCTGGTATCCTCCTGTTCCACTGAGCAAAGTTTTGAAGCCTTCCTCCAACTTAAGTGACTCTTCTGAGGGAGGCTCCGTAGGCCAACGAATGCCTTCAAACTTTGCTCAGTGGGAGTGGGTGGGATACTGGGCAATATGTATGTCAAAACATAAAGTCCTGGTCTCTTGAGCAGTACACTGTCAAATTATAGAACACGTCCCCCCCCCCCCATTGTAGTAAGTTGTGATAACAGGTAGATCTGTGTCAACCCTCCTCTTTGTAATGAGAAGAAGAAGAGTTGGTTTTTATACCTTGCTGTTCACTACCCGAAAGAGTCTCAGAGAGGCTTACAATCTCCTTCCCTTCCTCTCCCCACAACAGACACCCTGTGAGGTAGGCGGGGCTGAGAGAGTTCTGAGAAGACTGTGACTGGCCCAGGGTCACCCAGCTGGCTTCATGTGGAGGAGCGGGGACTCTTAACCACTACTTGTAATAGCAAAGATGACTGCCAGTGATAATACAGCTTGTGTCTTGTTTGAAATTTCCCCCACTTCCAGTCATCACCATTATCGTGGCTGCACATTTTCTATAGCACTTCCCATGTCACAGAGTGCTTTACAATCCATATCCCATTTCCCCCTCACAACAACCCTGTGATGCGCCCTTCCCTACAGAATCCAAGTGCCTTCTCCAGCTGTTCCGTCGAATAATAAACTATTGCTACAGTCTGCCGTGGCTTGAATCCCAGACAACTTTCTATGCTTGTTTGGCATTGCAAGGCCCAGCTTGTTGTAGCTTTTGTGATACTGTACTTTCATCCTACAGGGCAGCCGTAAGAATGTACCATTTCCGTTTAACAAAAAAAAAAACAACCATGACCAGTAAGGCCTGTCATATTGCAGAAACTGAAATAATCTTCCTTGCTGAAATATGAACAGTTGTATAATTTATGAGTACGTGGAGGGTGGTTTTTTTGCATACTTGCATGTTACTGGTGTTGAAACTGATGCTTAAATAGAATACCTTTCTCTATCAAAAGCCTTTAAAAAAAAAAATCCTTGTCATCTTTTTCTTTTAAGTTTACAAACCTTACCAGAGAGGAAGGTCTTGTTATTTTATTTCTGTCACATAGCCACCTACAATTTTCCATAAGAAGAAATCATGAACACTGAGCATCCTGTGGTGTGTAACATTTACCAAAAAAAAAAAAAAAATCTCTGCCAAGGCTGAAATTACAAAAGGATAACTACAGAGAGATATCAAAGAGAAATTCCTGTTGAAGGCAGAAGTCCTTCTTCCAGCAAAAACAGCTTGTCTGAATCCGAGCCGCTCTCCAATAGCACTGTTTAGAGGAATTTTCTTAATTCCTCTTTACCCAGTTTCTCCCTGAAATCAAATAATCAGTTCCGTTTTCCTCTTTTTAGGAATTTAGAGTCAGTTTCGAATCAGTTCTGTTTTGATCAAAAGAAAAAATTTGAAGAGAGGATAGGCAGGAGGGAGGTTTTTGCAAAATTTCAGGATTTCAATTTATAGATGCTCAGAAGCGATCAGTGTTTTCGCCGACACTCTGTCACTTAATCATCTGTGGTTTTCCATAAGAAGGAATCATGAGTGTAACTCTCATTTGCACATTCTCTCCCTCATCTGCTCCTGTCTACAGGATGGTTTAATTTTTCCACATTCAGGAGAGATCTTGTATTAGTTGCAAGGCCTACTATTTGGTTGTTTACTTCTCCCTTCAATAAGAGGCGCAAGGCTATTGTTGGAAACAGTGTGGAGGTATAGGATCATATATCCATTGCTGGTGGGGGTGCACAGTGATCAAAACATTCTGGAAAAATATCATAGCTCAAATTAAGTTTTTAACCGGTTATGATATCCCAGAAAAATCCGAAATTATCCTCAATATAGCAAGGAATTATTAACTGTATTACTTTCAGCTGCAAAAACAACAATCGCACAGAGCTGGAAGAGTAATTCCCCTCTATATATTGCTACATGGTACTCCAAGGTATGGGAACATCTCCTAATGGATAAAATCTCAGATAAACTGGCAAATTCAGACCCTTCTCGCAACTCCCAAGCATTTTATGGAAGGTGGAGGGTGATATAGGAAAAATTGGAGTATGTTCTAGAACAAATAAAACCCACACAGAAATCACAGTATTATAACTTTATCCGTAAAGAACGGATCTTGTAATTATTGGCTTGCTGTTATCATTATGTTCTGAGGGTTTGTTCGTTTAGTGTTGATATTTGAATCCCTTAATATTGTATTAATATTACAAGTTGTATGTCAACACATTGTTTCTATATTGAAAATTAAAAAATATTTAAAAAAAAAATAAGAGGGGCAAGGAAGGGAAAATGGAAGTCCTAGTCTGTACCACTGTAGACTCGAGGTGAAAGCTCAATTGATAAAATGTTCAATATAAATCTTCCTTCCACCGGGAAAGAGAAGTAGGAAATCCAGAAGAAGTTCCTGCTATCTAGTTCTTTATGTGGAGGCTTTTTCCTGCCTTCCCTCATGTGGTCATTCTCTTCCTGTGGTACAACCCAAACGCAGGTTTACCACTTCAAGGAGGATTAGGCCATCACCTCCTTTACTTAAAAAAAACCCCTTTCCCCTAGATTCCTGAAGTTCGGCTGCTCTCCGTTCTACCTTACAAAAAAAGCAAGGCAACTTCTCTGTCACAGGTCAAACACAACTTTTGTAAAAACGAGAAGGCATCTCACAGTGCCAAGTAGAAAAAGGAGGATGTGCCATCAAGTGTAACCAACTCACGGTGACCCCCTTCTGTGAGGCATTCCAGGCATGAGATGAGCCAGAAGTAGTATGTCCATTGCCTTCCTCCTAGGGTTGCCAACTCTGGGCTGGGAAATACCTGGGGTTTTGGGGGGTGGAGCCTGGGGAGAGGAGGAACATCAGCGGGGTACAATGCTGTAGAGTCCACCTTCCAAAGCAGCCATTTTCTCCAGATGAACTGATCAGTTGTAATCCCAGGAGATCTCCAGCCATTACCTGGAGGTTGGCAACCGTACTTCCACATAGTGCCCTTAGTCTTTCTTGGTGATGTCCCATGGGTGGCCCTCCCTAGCCAATTTGGGCCAAGCGGGCTCCTCACGGGACTAAACCAGGATCCAAAGAACCACGAAGCTCACACTCTGTAAACTGCACGGGGTTTCAGTCTTGTTCTTTCTCGGTTCCTGCCCATACCACAGGGCAAACATTTTTTGAACAGAGACATGCTTCGAAAGCAGTTTGAGATACAGCATGGAGAGCAGCCATAGAAAGAGGATAAAGTTTTTTTAAAATCCTTCTGTCTACCACAAATCCTAGCGTGAGCCTAATTAGCTTATTGGCTCTCCGCCCCGGTAAACTTGCCCTTAGCAGGAACTCCTGTAGAACATGGATATAGTGTGCTTTAAGACATAAGAATGTCCTTGGCCTCATTCCTATCACTCCGGTCAGCAGCCTAAAGGATCTTCCTTCAACTTAAGGGGCTGTTCCTCTGCCAAAAGAGCCACTGATGTCAGATGACCGCTCGACAGGCAAGAAGGCTTCAAACTTCTCAGAGCAGCATAGTTGGATAATGACCCTTCTGTCCACTTGTGATGGGTGGACGAAAGTAGGAAGCATCTCTTCAGTGACATGAGAAGTGGCCCAGTCAGTCATGGCTGAACTCCAAATGCTTTCACAGTTCCTTCAGCCAACGCACACCTAGTATTTATTTAGTCATGTTTTAGTTTAAAATATTTATATCCAGCCTTTTCCTGTGGGTCAAGGCAACTTCCAAACCATCATTTAAAACCAACAGCATAAAACCCCAAGTGACCCCCCTCCCCCATATAAAAAGGATTTGCCTTCATTTGCATCATGAACATGAACACATGAAACTCCCTTATTCTGAATCAGGCCCTTTGCCCGTCAAAGTCAGTATCGTCCACTCAGACTGGCAGCGGCTCTGCAGGGTCTCGAGATCTTAAATAAGTCTGATAATGATGTTGTAAGGACATTTAAAAAATTAGTAAAGGAAAGCTGTTAAGATTATCCTGAAAATGGGAAATAAGCTAAACCGCCAGTTAAAATTGTATGAATGAACAATCTGGTGAACAGAGATCTCCCATTATACCAGCTATTAAATTGATTCATTTAGACCAACTGGTGGGCTGCAGAAAAGCAATTAGGTCTGGCTATAGTCAAGTAGATGTAAAAACGTTGCCCATAGTAGCACGCTTAGGGGAAAATGTTGAAACAGAGTATTCTGCAATTTAACACTACATCTTTGATCAGGTTTGGTGTGTAAATTCCCTCAGATACTTACTTGGGGAAGCCTTGAGAGACCTCCTTTGTATATATTTTATTGAGTAGTGCATTCTGGGAAAAGGCAAAGTATTGTGGGGGAGCAAGGTTTGACTCCAGTAGTGCCTTAAAGACCAACAAGATTTCCAGGGTATAAGTTTTCTTTTTTTTTTTTTTTAATAATCTGTTTATTAAATTTT